ACAACTGAAAAGGATTGACCAGGACGAAGTTGAATGTAGAGTGTTGGTGGTCGGCCTATACTCCTCCATGAAATGTAACAGGCGTTAGTACGTCACTAAGTAGAAATGGAGTTTGTCTTCCAGGTCTCTAAAATTTCTGGTTTGCACATGAAAATGAGAGAGCTTTCGAGTCAGGAATAATTTTCTATAATTCAATGCCGTAGTTAGCAAATCAGCAAGCTCTTCTCTAGAAGAGTTTTGCATGATCGATCAGAATTGCTGTTCCTGAAGCATTCTTAATTTTTCTAGACTCAGGATAGATGGTCCATAATCAGTGATGATGAATTCACAAGTTAGGATTGAAGGTTTATCGTCTGTAATCAGTAAATTACGACACCCAAGAGTAGGGGCTTGATGATCTGTATTACTCAAAGCAGAAACGTCGTTAGATTTAATTATCGCATTAAGACTTCATGACTCCAACTTTCCAACTTAAATGATGTATTTGATGACAGTATTGTCAACAATAAAATTGTGAAATGCACCACCGGATAAATATAATCGTTTTTGAATGAGCGGTGTAAATAAGGATAGTACATGATTATTAAAATCACCTAAATTAATAAGATCCGAATCAAAAAGTTTAGTATTACTTGCAGCGAAATGAACAGTAGTTTTACAAACTGGCTTGATATGTCCCATTTTACCACATATAAAGCACTTGGCATGACGAAAGACATGTAGGGCCATTGCAATGTCACTTATCTATTTATTTATTTACTTGGACACATAAATATTGGTACAAGAGAGCGCCAATATACATGCGCCACACAATACAATGAGAATCTAAACAGAAGGAAAAAAGGTGAGGAGCGTTAAAAGGAGAGAGAACAATAATGAAGAGTTTGGTGTAAGGTAGTGTATTAATAACAATAGTAATAATAGTGGGACAAAAATGTACAATCAGAAAAGATCTTTCAGTTAAAGAGGATACAACCACTTTTTACGAAGAAAGTAAAAGAAGGTTACAGCATGATCGAGACTGGCTTATATTCTGAGCCATATCTGATAACGTCTCTAGCCGCTGTGTAGCACCATCTCTCGGATCCCAGCAAGGAAGTCGTGAAGGACCAACAAAAGCCAGCTCTTTGCAGTTTTCTTTAATACCACGACACCATGTCCTACACAGATCACCTCTCCGCTTTTTCCAACCACCACTTTCCGACCAGTTTCAGAGTCTGCAAATAATGCACGACGTGGAAATCTCTGGGATGACATTCATAGAACATGTACAAGCCACCGAAGTCGGTGTTTCAAGATAGTGACACCAATTGAATTATCATATCTGTGCCCGAACACACAATACCGAACCTCTGCATTACTGACATGGTGTTGTCACTGAATTTCAGGAATCCTTCGGAGACAGCGATGATCGAACACAGAGAGTCGTCTAACGTCCTCAACTCGGAGAGGCCAGGTTTCACAAGCATAGAGCAAAACTGCTCTCACCGACGCGTTGTAGATCCGACCTTTTACGGCCAGACTAACATCACGAAGGCGCCATAGATGGCCCAGAATGGCATAAGCCGCTCTGGCTTTCACTATTCGTGCATTGATCTCATCACTCACACCCCCACCAGCACTTATGCAGCTGCCCAGATACACGAACTTCTCGACTACGTCTACCTGCTCACCATCCAGAGTGAGTACAGGATTGGAATCCCGCCAGTCTTGTAGAAGTACTTTGCACTTCGAAGGTGCAAAGCACATACCATACCTACGGACACTGATTGCCAACTGATTAAGTGCGGATTGCATGCCTTGGGCATTATCGCACAGTAAGACAATATCGTCCGCACACTCAAGGTCGAGAAGTCTTTCTCCAGGCAACAGATCCACACCACCATTACTTACATTCATCAGATCTGTTTCCAGAATGTCATCGATGGCAAAGTTGAAGAGGAATGGTGAGATTGGGCAACCCTGCCTAACCCCACTACTCGAATGGAACAATGGAGAGAGGTGGTTGTATGCCCTCACTCTGCCTGAGGTGTTTTTATATAGGGCTTTTAGGATGTTAATAAACTTCTCAGGCACACCCTTCTTCAATAGACAATCCCAGAGAACAGTCCTGTCCAACGAATCGAAGGCAGCCCTGATGTCAAGAAACACTACGATTGTTGGCCTTTGATAAGTATGGCGGTGTTCTAACATTTGGCGGAGGGTGAAGATATGATCAATACATCCTCGACCAGAACGAAACCCAGCCTGCGCCTCGCGAGTCAATCTTTCTCGGGTTTTCAACAACCTACGAAGAATGACGGAAGCCAATAGCTTGGACGCAATCGGAAGTAAACTTATCCCCCGATAGTTGTTACAGGAACGACGTGAACCCTTTTTAAAGATAGGGACAACTATCGACTCATTCCATGACGTTGGTACACTCTCTAGTTCCCAAACCTTTGTAAACAACGTCGTCAATTCCTTAGTCAAAAGTCACCACCATCTTTAAAAAGAGCCGGAGGTAAGTCATCTGGGCCAGGTGATTTGTAACGCTTCAAGAGTTGGAGTTCCTTGCGGACTTCCTCCTCGTTTGGTGGATCAGTCGTCACCGGCCATGGAGGGCAGGACAGTCTGACCGATGTTGCCGGAGCAGCAGGCCAGTTGAACTGCCCTTCGAAAAATTCTGCCCACCGTCCAAGACGTCGATGGATGTTAGTGATTGACATCTCGTCATCCTCACAGATTGTTTCGCTCACACCAGACTTCTTGCTGCCAGTGGCTCGGATGAGTTGGAAGAGCTTCCGGTAATTACCAGATGCAGCTGCTGCTTCCAGCTCATTAGCACGCTCCGACCACCAGGCTTCTCGGTCCTTATGCAAGCTTTGCCCAATTGCGCTACGTAAAAACTTTCGTTTGTGGTCAAACGCACGGTCACCCGGAGTAGACCGACGGGCTTCAATGAGTTGTAAGGTGCCTGAAGAAACCCAGTGTTTATAAGCGGGATGTTTCGAAAACCCACAACTGACAATGCCCTCCATTTTCATGGCGTCATGCAATTGCAACCAATGCTCATCTATATTTTTCGGTGGAATGGTAGCTAGTCTAGAAAGCTAGCTCGGTTCGATACTTAGTTGCAACCAACTTGCTGACATCAATCCTTTGGTGGCGGTCACTTCGTTGTCCACTGAAAACTAAGGCAAGATTGGCGCAGACCAAGGCATGGTCAGAGTCCAGATAGGTACTCAAAAAGGAGCGGCAGTCTTGTACACAACCACGCCAGCGGTAGCTGATCGCGATGTGATCAATCTGAGTCCAGGCTTGAGATGTAGAGGGAGGACGCCAGGTGGCACATCGGCGATGACTGTGCCGAAAGTTAGTGCTAGCCAGAAACAGGTTGTGGTCTGTGCATAGTTGCAGTAGACGGTCCCCGTTATCTGACCTGCGATCAACGAGTCCCCATCGGCCACCTAAACGACTCTCTTCTCTTCCTGGACAACCGACCTGAGCATTCAAGTCTCCGGCTAGTACTACAATATCTGTCGAACGCACTTTCTGGAGAAGAACAGATAACTGGTGGTAAAATTCATCCTTGATTGCATCCGGGCTGCAATCTGTCGGGGCATAGGCGGAGATGACGAAAAGACATCGTTTCTCACGCCGATTTCTTCTCACTTTGATGGAACTCTCTAATCTAACAGCACATAACCGACTGTTAATGGGGATCCAATGGACTAGTGCTGCCTCAGCCCTAACGCTCAGTGCGACACCAACGCCAACAAGACCAAACAAAGATGCCACAGGGTTACCAGATAAGCGCACGTAAAATAAGCTTTTTGAAGTGACAGATGGAGATCGAATTTGTAGTACTTCGCTAGAGTCTTGAATACGGGTCTCGGATAGACAACAAACATCAATAATAAGACTTTCCAAAGACATAGCCAGCCCTATCTGTTGTCCGACCTGTATAAATGTGCGAACGTTGAAGGCAACCAGTTTGAATGGTGCACGTGGTTTCAGAAAAACTGCTTCATTACTCATATTCGGTGATAACATACAATTTTCAACCGGACAGTGACTCGAGAATGTTTAGACAGAGCTGAATTTCCACCATAGACGAGCTTCTGTGTAAGTCGAATAACAAGTATACACAGAGCGGGAATAAAAGAGGGCGAATAAATAGCGTAGTAAATAAGAATAATAAAGACAATGATAGTAATAGTAATAATGTGAATCATTTGATTGTTAATCGCAGCAAGAATAGTATCTTCCATAAATATAGATAGTTCATCATAATTGTGCGTGGGCTGTGATACTGCTCGGGTGCCCAGACCGAAGCAGGTGGTCTTCTTAGGGGGCCACACCCCGAGCTTTTGACCTAAAGTCTAACCCACGAGGCAGTGGAGCATCATAAGGAGATGCAGTCCCATGGAAGCCGGTGACCAACAATTGGTTCATACGCCATTTGTTCCCACAGGATACTGGAGCCCATGTGCATCATTGGTTTGGGATCCGGTTAAAGCGCCGGACATTCGCTTTTTGTCCTCTTACTTTCGTAAACAACACCCCGCCACGAGAAGGCAGTGAGTAGGACTTCCTTGGCAGAGGCTATATACGCGTGGCCATGTGAGAGTATTTCGAGAGGGAGGACGCTCTCGACCATACCAGGGCATTTGGGGGCTGTAGACAAACCATCCGACAGTCAGATCACTAAATGTCGAACAGTTCACCGATCCTCGGCAACGTCAAGTGCAAACAATGGAAATCAGTTGATTGTACGCCACGGACTTGTAGCGTGGAGTCGAATCGAGATTGACTATGAACACCACTACAAGAAGACTACGTGTCAGTTAACCGATAATATCTCCCGTAAGCCAAATATCAGAAGGCAGTTGATGGCTGTAGTCGATATGTACTTGTTGGCGATCTCATGGTATCGAAAGGATACCGAGATCGTGCCAAAGGAGTACAAGCGTGGTTACCGAGCGTAACCAAATACGTGCAAGGTCACATTGGAAAGATAATGGAGCAGTAATATAGCTGTCTTTAGCACAGTAAAACAATCACTGGTACAATCGGTTATAATAATGACTGTTTCCATTAAACCAATCGCGTTCTCTTGGTAAAAGTAAGTCACTACAGACTGACCCATGTAGCAGTGGTCGCATTCTGTTCCTTGTACCTACTCTTACTAACATATTTTTATAATAACGTCGGTTTTGTTGAACAGTTATTAAAGTAGCCGTGGCACCTGGATGTAAAGAAAGGGTAATCTACGTGAGATACTAAACTCACGGCGTCACTTCGACCTTAGCTGGCTGTTCACAACATTCTCGTCTAACTCGAGTAAGCCTCCAACCATTCGATACAGATTATCTACAATAGTCACTTACAAACACATTAATTACGTAAGTGGAATTTACAGAAAGATAAGAATTTACCAAACCTGTACTCACCTATTCTACCTGCTTGGCAACACCTCAATGGATTTTTATTCATGTTGTCACATGAATGAGGATTATCATCAATTAAACGCATACCTGTATACCCTGTAGTACGCTTTGGATTAGGATAACTAAGTAATACAGTAGGATTCTTGATGTCATGGGAGTCAACTTCATGCGTCGCTTCATAATTATTACATGCAGTTCGAGCATTTGATAAGTAACACTCCGGCATTTGCATAAGCTCTCATTCCATTTTTGTTATGTTAATTCCTGCAATTAATCGATCACTCAGTTGGACATGAAGCTGAGGACCAGAATTACAATTGGCGGCATGTTTCTGTAATTCAGGGATAAATTCTCTAGCCTTTCGGTTATCCTGATGAACCATTTTATGAAATTTTGTCGTTCATGGAATTCGAAATTAGTACACTTTACATGATTTATTAGTAGTTCTTTGAGAGTTTTGTGGCCCCAAATCTGACTCCATTTGGATTGCATGAATTATTGTCATCGAAATACACATGTCGGCTATCCTCGTATATAGTTATAAACTTAATCCGCTTTAGTGAATAACAGAATTAAATAAGCCAAATACGAGAACTGATTTGGCATATATATATTTCATGCGCTCATTGGTTTGAACAGGCAATCAGAAAGACGAAACAAAGAGGTAAGAGCGAAGCAGATTGGAGAAAGTAAGTGAGCCAACTCGATTTTGCCAAGCATGAACTGATATTTATAGTCAGATAAACATATGATAAATAGGATAAGAAGTGCACACAGATACGCTTAAATAAAACAATCAAGGTTGATAAGAGAATAATTAACCAGGTTAGAATGTGACTCAAGAAGGATGAATAAATTGGCTTGTCCTGAAGCAAGAATAAGCTATGTAGGCTTAACATAGTACATGATGTCACACTATTCCCCACAATGTACACATGATACTATGTAAATTTATCAACCTGAGTGAGCTACTTAGTGAATAAACTTTGTGACCTCTCAAAAGTATCCTTATTATTTGTGACCTTTATCGTCAGTAATTAAATTATTCAACTATGAGATTGACTTGGTTCGTCGTATCGAAAACCGTTTTAGACATTAATTAATCACTCATTTGGTGACAGATTTCTTCTCATTATTGTTCCTTTTTTATCATTTACAACTTCACCTTCTTCTTTCCTTTATGATTTCATCCTCAACGTACAAATAGTTGATGTGTGGGCGAGAATGATGATCATTGATTGTTTGCTTAGTCAGACATGTAGATAGTCTGACAGGTGTCCGGTGAGTTATATATTCCCCCATCCTTATTATTATTATTATTACTATATTCTATTATTACTACTACTATTATTACTACATTCTAGTCAGGCTAATTTTGTGTTTTTGATCATCGGAGTCATGTTGAAGTCCTGTAGAATAGACACTGGGAAGGAATCTGGTCTAGATATTCATCTAAGGTAAATTAGCGTCCCATTCGTATAAACATGGATAACCAATCGTTATGACATTACTAATCAATTTTAACTATTAATTGAAGTGTTATATATGTCGTTGTTTCTTTTTTGTTTCTTAAATCGTCTCTAATTAAGCTTCATTGGTTACGATATATAAAACTTTGTTTACAACAATGTGACTCATGTAGATTTAGGTCGTTCTCAGCTGATGAATAGCCTCGATACATAATGAATTCATGTCACTAGTTTAGTGTTGTTCTTATCGTTTCATTAAAATTTATCAAGGGATGACGATATATGAATGTCACATTTAGATTCTTTAAAATAATATATGAATATCGCATAGATACTAAATAAAATGATAAAGGTCACCATGTGATTACGAACATAAGTTATCATACAATGATAGCGTGAATATGTCACTATGTCACCATGAAACAAAACATGACAAATCGTCTATGGTTTATGGATAGCGGGATAATACAGAGATCAGTAGGGCAAAGTTTTATTACGACGAAAATTGATATCTGGTACTGAAAAAACAATATCAGGATAAAGAATAACAGGCAGTATTACTTGTATCATAACAATAGTCAACCAGTTATAATACAGAACGAGATGGTCATTTTTTAGTGTATGCTACTCATTTCGACAGATATAAGTAATATATAATACCAATCAGAAATTAAATGTCTAGCAGGCAGAAAGTTGAGAAGATTGAATTGAAGAGAACGGGAATGTAAACAAATAAGAATTGTGAATTGGAAGCATTCTACAGGATGTGATAGACAATCGATGGTATTTAATGTATGGTTCTTATATTTTACCAGGATATTTTATAACTATTAAGTTGATTGCTCCTCACTTAACTTGTTCAATACAATTTTAGGTTAATCATTTTTTAACCCTAATATCATAATCAGGCAAGTATAAAATGCAAGTCATAGTTTTCCACTATGAAACGTTCTTTGGATTGTTCCGAGTAATCTCTGAATTAATATTTCACTGTTCGCATTCATTCTGAATTGTAGGCGCATGAACAAGGATTTCATGTTCATTTTTTGTGTTTCGTCTATTTTAATCTTCTTGATTATATATTAACTTATAAACTTTCTGCGGTATTCGTTTTCTTAATTATTCTAGACACAATAAAATCTGAAGGGGTTTTGTGGAGATTTTAATAATTTCAACAGTTGAAATCATGAGTCAAATGAAGTTAGACTACCATGGAAAGCCTGGAAGCAATAGTCCTAGTATGGAACTCCTCAATAATACCACCTTATAATTCTCGGATTAACTGTGATTCATTTCTGACTTAATGAATATAAACTTAGTTGATTATTGTGCAATTGAAATAAGAAAATAATTTCTTCATTATCGTCTAGATCGTATGAGAAATTATAATGAAGTGATTTCATAACATAGTAAATGAATTATGTCTGTTGTTTATAGGTGATATGATATTGTAAATTTATATTCATATAGTGAGTAAATGACTAACTAATGTTAAGTGCTGTACAGTCTACCTTATACAGATCGAATGCTTAAATAATGTAACCGAATTATATCAAACTTGGGAAATTCAGATATCATTTGAAATTATTATTATAATAAAACTAATTGACACCATATAAAAGTCGTGTTTTAAAGGTCGATGAAATCTAATTTAGACATCGCCCTCAAATGCTGTGGTACGGTCGAGTGTAGGAAGAGTTAGCTCTCTTTCTCGAAATGCCCTCACCAGGCCACGCGTATACAGCCACTGCCAGAGAAGTACTACTCACCGCCTTCTTGGCACACGGGTGTTGTTTACGAAATTGCAAAGTCGGAAAGCGAATGTCCGGCACTTTAACCAGGTTGGTGGATACGGAGGGTTGACCTGGTGGAGTCAAAAAAATCCTGATTCTAAACCAATTGTTCACATGGGCTCTAGGATCGTGATAGGACAAAGAGCGTATGAACATATTATTGGTTACCGACTGCCATAAGATTGCATCTACTTACCTCGGACCACTGCCTTCTGAATTAGACTTTTAGGTCGAAGGTTAAAGGTTTGAACCCCTAAGAAAACCACATACTTCGGTCTGGGCACTCAGCAGTATCACAGAACCACACTCAAAACATGTGACTTGTGTGGCGTATATGTATTCGGTGCCCCTTTTTAACAATATTTTGTGTTCAAATAAATAAGTAGTTTCATACAATACTACTGTTTTGTTAAAATCACAAGCGTAACAAGTAGCTGATATGTATGAAGTTACAAACTCTCTGTTCACTAATATTACAAAGCCTAGAATTTTTAAAAAACAACCGAAATTATTCTAAACAATAAATATCATTTGTAATGGAACTACACATATCTCATAAAAATCACACTTATTTTGACGTGTGATCTAACAGTTAAACTTTTTGAAAATCATATAGGATAAAGATAGAGTGTGTGTGGCTATCAATGAAATCCCGACTGCTTATTTATTTCTAACTGGTCCCCGTCAGCTAGTTATACCTGCATCTCAGAATTGATTCTCACTCTGAGATTCAAAACTGATGTCATTCGTTCCACTTAGCTACTACTGAGCCTAGATATCCACTCGTTTGTGCAACATGATATTTCAAATGATTACAAATTACACAACAAAGTTGGTTAGTGTTACAGAGAGACATCAACATGAATAACCAAGAAGTGTTGATTAGTTGTTTAGTCCTAAACCAAGATGGAAATCAGTCTCGCTTTCCATACGTTTAGATCAGATGAAATTTTTAGATTATTATTTAATTTGTAATTTAATAAATATTCATCTATATGTCATATGTTGAAAGCATGTTAATGGTCAATTCATGCAACTATTGATCCGTAAAGCTGCGATAATATTATTAGACTTAATTGGTCGAACAGTAGTTTGGTTTCTAGTGTTATACGCATAGTGCTGAACAATTTAATCCGATTTAACCAATCTGAATCATACTACTGATGACTAGTAAGACACATATCTGTAGGATTTAACCAAGACGTTCTTTAAAAAATGGTGATTAGCGAATTATATATATTTAGATACCTATATATAGATGTCAGTCATTAATGTTATCTAGTTCTGTAGTAGTTTAAGATATGGGTATACTATTTACTCCAAAAAATGATGATCCATATGCTAATATTCAAAGTCATAAGGCATTTACCCATGCGTATCTTTCGACAGTTACTGCAGACTTTGGTAAGTTTTATTAATTATTTACGATTGAAGTCGTATATACCTCTCGTTAGTTGATTAATTTATAACTTAATGAATAATGTCATTGATAAGAGTTTAATCAAAGCATTACCTTAATAACAATTTCCTGTAGTTTTAGTGAGAAACAGTGATCAGTGGAGTTCAACTGGGTCTGTTGTTAGATATTTGCCCATTGAAGACAATTGTGGATGTGTCGTTCGATTTTGTGGATTAGTTGAAGTTAGATATTGACATTATTGGATCCTGGCATGCTCAGTGATCTAGAAGTTAGAATCTTGCTATTATCACATAAAATCATTCACAAAATGTAGAAAATACACAATACATAGGAGAGGATTCTTTTCGATGCGACCCATTATTGCAGTTGAATTGTATTTATTTGCATGTGCAAAAAACTCCTTGTTTAAACAGAAAAACTAAATGGCATTCTTTCCACATATTTTTGACTTTCCGATAATTTTTATTAAAGATGACAGATCAAAACAGTCATAAAATATTTATTAAAGTTCTTTCCTAGAGTTAACTTGCGAAGATGTTTACTCTGCACGTGTTCAATGAAATGGTGTGACCAACAAACCTACATCAAAGTTATACCACAAGATAATTTCCTAACCTGAATCATCTCGAAACAATGGTCGAGCCATTTTTTTCTGCTTCTTTTGTAACAGTGAGGAAGAAACAGAAGCTTGCTTGAATAATACTGTACATCAAGTAGATCAGAATGCCGAGTTATGTAGTATCGATATTCTTCTACCTGAGATGTGAAATTCGGTGATAAAGTTGAAAATACAAAGGGTGGTATAGGTTGTGTCAATATTAACAAATTCAACGTACGAAGACCTTACTGTTGAAGTCATTAAATGCCATATTACTCAACCTATAGCATAATGCCTAACTTAACCTTAACTTTTATAACTAGAATGTGTTTCAGATGTTTACTGTTTATTTATTTATTTATCTCTTATTTATCTAAATGATTTAGGCGAGGACAACTTCCTGACATGCCCACTTGGTATACTTTTCACACTCGGTATCCTGTTAGGATCTGGTGGTGCTCAAGGTAGAACAGGTTATCAAATTGGAAAAACAATGAGACTGAAATCGACATCTTCTTCATGGAATTCTTCGGAAGCTCAACAAGAAATGAAATCATTATATCAAGAGCTTAATAACTCGCTCACTTCAGAAAAAACATTTTTAAATGAGAGAGAAGAAAATGTTGTTAGAATATCAACAGGCATATTTGTACAAAAAGCTTACGAAGTTGAGACACGTTTTAACGAAAGTATTGCAAATGATTTTGAAGGAGAATTGAAACAGGCAAGTTATTATATTTTGTGTAAATCTTAATGTAATGAAGAATCAGTCGTTTTCGCAAACATCAATCGATAAGTAATCGACCGTTTCATTCATCGAATGTTCTTAAAATAGTTTATTAATCTTGATGTGATACTTCGGAAAAGTAAATCTTATTTCGCTGGATAGTTTACTTAGTTTGAAAGTGTAGAGTGGATATATTACCAGAAAAACCAGTAGAAATAATGGATGAATTGACTGACTGTTTTTTCTCATCTTAATGATTAATAACCATACATTCACTTTGAGTTACTTTAAGTTGGATTTAGAACAGTTCCACTAATGGATCATAACGTATGAATGGAACGAAGCTTTAATCAGGTCAGTAATGACTTAAAAAGATTTGCCCTCTAAATCGTTTATGGATTCAGGTGGAGAAAAATAATGCTGTTGAATTTCAGCTGAGCAGCTGAATAATATTATAATCATGGTGGCATATTCATGCAATACATTCGAATAAATTTGAAATCACTTATGCTCACTGTCTCAAACTGAGATTAGATGACTCCCGTGTGCTCTCTGACGTTTACTAACCTTCAAATTCACATTGTGAGCTTTTCTCACAATATGCTAAACAGGTTTATATATACTAATGTTTGGATTAAAAGAATAACTGTCTAGATAGTTTAGATAGGTGCTGTTACGTAGTTGAAACAAAAACAAACAAACAATGTAATTGGGTGAATGAGGGTTCTACATTTTATTATAACTACAAATGTACATTATTACCTAAATAAATATTACCACCCAGTTATTCAACCAATAATTGTCCAATCAGCAATCGAATCAAGTGCAAGCAATAAATGGTATTCTATCATTTCTGGATAGATCACGTACAGATTCGTTCGAAAGATAATATTTGATTGCGCTACAACAACGATTGTTTCCAATTGTGGAAGAGTGCTTAAATTCACAATCAAAATGCAGTTCAGGATGAAACATGGGAACTCAGTGAAGAAGTAAGGAAAACGAAATCTATAACAAAATACAAATATTGGCATTTGAAATGGAATTAAATAGACCAACAGAATGTACAACTGAAGGGGTCAAGTGAAGTGAATTACAGGTGTATATATGGAGGGATTTTCACACTCGAAGCCATCAAAATGGATCTTACAATCCATAGTAGACCTTAATTCAATTATGGACCATGTAAATTCTAATTCTATTTCAAAACAAAATTTCATACTACCACATGTCACATTATGGATTGCTTGGTTGGTAAATCATGAATCGGAATCCTGGTGGTTGGAATGTCGCAAAACTTTACCTCTGAGTGTAATCTAGTCACAGATCTATCCATGTAATGAATTAATTTTGTTTTAAAGTTTACTACTATTATAATGACTCACTTGTCTTTGAAGCATATGCTGCTGATATTATTCATACCGACGAATTATATACAACTAAATGGTCCAACGTAAAGATCACGACCTCTGCAAAGCTTACTGTCGGTAATCATAATCGGAATGAAGTCATTAATTCTGTTAGTATTTGTTCATTAGATTTAATTACCGCTTACAAATTTTTAATGTTCATTACTCTAGGTGGATTTTTCTAATGGAACTAGTGCTACAGTTGATATCAATGATTGGGTTGATCAACAGTCTAATGGTTTATTGGAGAAATTCTTTACAGATGATATTCCAGATGACACTGCGATGATATTGGTAAATGTTTTCTACTTTAGAGGTAAGCTATGATCCGACTGTTTAAAGTTTGGGGTTTAATACAAGAACAGATTAGAAGACTATTTGTTGCATAAAATGTGATGACTTTAATAATTAGAATCACAATAATAGCCTGAATTGTTCATGTTAAGTATTTCGTATTTTGTTTATAGGGCGATTAAAGTGAACAGGTAGGACGTTCGTGATTTAAGATTTGTGATGTTTGAGACTTGTGAAATAGGCGGAACTGTAAAAGTTGAGTGAAAGTTTATGCTAGTATGACTTGAGGTTGGGTCATCGAGGAATAAGACATGTTGATGGATGTGAACAAGCAGTAATCGTATGTCTAGACCACAATGGTTACTACTGCATATTTTGAAACTTTGACAGATACCATATATTGATCAACGAGTTTGTGAACTTTTCCAAACTCTTGTCCAAACACACTATTGTGAATCATTTTATAAATTGTGGGGGCGGAAGCACGGTATATAGTAGACAGGTAGGATACAGCTGGATGATCTAGATTTCGCTAATGATCTGGCTCTTCTATTCCACACGCCACAACAAATGCATGAGAACACGACCAATGTGGCAGCCGCCAAATCTGATGTACGTCTCAGCATATATAAAGGAACAAGCAAGATTGTCCGATATAACGCAACAGGCACCAATTGAATCACGCTAATTTTTATTTATTTATTTGTGCCTGTTACCCCAAGTGGAGCATCGGCCACTGACCAGTATTCTCTAACCCACTCTATTCTGTTCAACCATTTCTAGTTCGATCCAATTGTTGTTAATTCTTTTCATATCTGTCTCCATTTCTCGGTGCAATGTGTTCCATCGTCGTTGCCTCCTCTTCCTTTGACCTTGAGGATTCCAAGTGAGGAATTGCCTTGTGACTCAGTTGGGTGCCTTCCAGAATGTATTTTCTATCCACTTCCAGCACTTCCTGATTTCTTCCTCCACTGGGATCCGGTTTGTTCTCTAACATAGTATGTTAACGCTGATAGTGTCTGGCCAACGGGTCCTCAGTATTCTGCATAGACAATTATTATTAAACATCTGTATCTTCTGGATGATTGTTTTGGTAGTTCTCCAAGTTTCCAACCCATACAGTAGAACTGTTTTGACATTGGTATTGAAAATTGTGACCTTGTTGTTGGTTGATAGTTATTTTGATTTTCAGATGTTCTTCAGTTGTAGATATGTTGCTTTCATATCTGCATCAGATCTACCGTGTTCGCTAATGATGCTGCATAGATACATAAATGTTTTAACATCTTCCAAAGCTTGTCCGTCAAGTGTGATTTGATTGATGCATGTTGTGATATATCGGAGAATATTACTTTCCCCTATATGAATGTTGAGACCTACTGCTACTGAGGCTACTGCTACACTGGTCTTGTTCCCGTGAATTTGTTGTTGCGTGCGCGATAGAAGAGCCAAATCATCTGCGAAGTCTGGATCGTCCAACTGCATCCTGGCTGTCCACTGTATCCCATGCTTCCTCCAAGATGTTGATGTCTTCATGATCCAGTCGATCACTATGAGAAAGTGCTAGGTTTGAAGCTATCACGAGTTCACTTAATCTGCGAACGAGAACAAGACTTGGTGACCAAAGACTATTAAGCTAGCTATTGATGCGTTCCAGCCCCACTAACTAGAGGGAGAAGTCTAAACTTGGAATGTGAAGTATATTCTGTAAACAGTCAGAAACGAGCATCTCACAGATCACAAGCCTTTGCTCGCAATATTCGAATCGAAATCTGACATTCCAGCTCATTCTGCAAATCGTCTTCAGAGACGGGCCTTAGCACTCTTGGGGTATGATTTCGAGATTCAGTACCGACGCACTCAACAATTCGGTCAGGCAGACGCTCCGTCACGACTTATCAGCGAACACCGACTCGATGGTGACTTGAATTAGCTTTACCACCGTTGAGACTCATTATGCGTGCTTGAAGTTTGAAGATAGAGTAGTGCTGCCAGAGTCTCTAAGATCAAGGGTGCTAAAGCAGTTCCACACTGGTCATCCTGGTATAAAACGAATGAAACCCATCGCCAGAAACTATGCTTATTGACCCCTCATGGACCAACACATCATGGATTTAGTAGGCAAACGCACGCAATGTCAGCAAGAGGTGAAATTTAATGCGAAAGTGACGCATTTAAGAGAGCTCTGATCAAGTTGAAAGGAGAGGGAACGCCAGTGGAAACACTGCAAATCTTCTTCGTTTACAGAGTGACACCTTGTGATGTGTTACGCGAGCAGAAGTAACCGGCAGAAATAGTCATAGGAATAAAATTGAGGACGGTCCACAATCTAATGCCTCCAAGAACCACACAATCACCGCCACGGACCAAGTTCGATGCAGATATGGTCGATTTGGTTTTGCGTGGTGTGACCCGGTGAAGTCCATGTGATTTTGTGAACGCGCTTATGTGGGAATATAGTGCCGTCTATGACTAGTTTATTGAAGGCACATGGGTTTGTAAACCTCTCACCATTTTCGTTCCTTTCTCCCAGTCCGTGTCGTCCCATCATGTCTTCATATCCGGTGTTGTCCATTCCAACCTTCGCATTCAGATCTCACATCAGAATGGTCAAATCCTTTGCTAGGCACTTCTCGACGATTGACTGCAGAATATTGTAGAATTGATCCTTAAGATCTTCATTGCAGTCACTGGCAGGCCCTTAGCGTTGGATGACGTTCATTGTCATGCTCACTTTCTTTGTTTTGAAGGAGGCTTTAATGATCGTGGATTCATGAGATTCCCATCCTATAAGTGCATTTCGTGCCAAAGTATAACAGAAGCTCCCCTGAAGCTGGTCGTTGTTGTCCAACCTGCGTGCAGTGTGTTTCAATGATGTTAAACACCTCCAGGTTGTATCTTTTGATTTCTGCATCACTTTGGAAGACTCTCCCGGTCTTCTATATTGTACGAGCATTCCATGTTAGCGTTTTTAAAAGGTTTGAATAATTTTTTCTGGTTAGCGTTTTTTAGTGAGTTAGTTTTCTACGGGATGGGGACGCTAACCCCATGCCCAACCCTCCTCCTTTATCCGGGCTTGGGAACGGCAGTAGCCCCCGGAGGGACTCCAGGCGGAGTTAGCATTCCATGTACCTAAATTAATGGTTGCTCTGACTGTCAGAAGGGATATAATCCTCGTGATTTTAGAAGGAACTCGGCTTTCACCATAAGACGTCATAACTCTTATAAATGAAGATACCAGTGTTTACTAACAGATGCCTGTGCAAAATACCTCACATCATAAAGTATTATGATCATTTCTAACGCTGCTTTAACATGTTTCTCCTTACATCTTATTGCAAAGCAATTTTTAGATTCCATTATACCCCAAAACAAATTAGCGTGGCATTTGTTTCGGGATGTTTACAGTTCATAAAATACTGTGAAATGAAAAGATAATATTTTTGTACTGCATATTCGTCGAAATAACACAGTTATCGTTGATTTTAGATTTTTGGCAAAGTCCGTTTGAGCCTTATTACACTAGAAAGGAGGATTTTTATATTTCACCAGATCGTCAAATAACAGTTGATATGATGACTCAAGAAGGAGTAATGAAGTATGGAAAATTCGAAGATGAAGGATTTGAGATCGTCAGTAAACCATTAAATGTTAGTAATTAAAAGTGTTTTTTTTTCTAACTTCTGTTATGTTTTGAGTTTGTCAGTCTCTTTATTCTATATTTTGATGGTTGATTTCATGAGTCAGATGAACCTAGACGACCATGGAAACCTTGGAAATACAGGACAGTCGTTTAGTACAAAGTGTATAGATTATCAAGATTTATTTTTGTGCAAACAATGCCTTATCTAGCATCATTCACTTGAAAATTAACAGTTCATTTACCCGTGCTACAGTTTGGTACCATAAGTGTTTGATTATTTGTAGAGTTTTTGGATTAGGCTTATCGGTTTGAGATTGCACTCATTTGTAATAAACTGTTTACATTGAACTGCTATTTTCACCCCAACAATTATACAAATGAATTTTATGCTTTGTTATATCTAGAGCTTAGTTTTTTAATATAATGTGTAGAGCTTGAGCAGTTTAACGCTAGAACCCTCCCAAGTCGTAAATGAGAAGACAGAAGAAGACTGGATAAAGTGCTTGTTGGGCAAGTATCAAAATGTACCGAAAATTACGGGTATTTATAGATATTGGCGTTTGTTAAATCAACATTATGATTCAACAAATCTACAAAGAAGCATGATGATTTATAGACTAAAAGTAGAATATCACGTTGGTATTCTGGAAAGCGCCATTGCATTGAGATTGAATGAAACTCTTCGGCTGTTCTAGGGCGTTTGGAAGTTCCGCCGTAGTTCACGTAAGCCGTCCTCATATAATTCTTATACCACTATCTTTGATGATCACATGAATAATCATACGAATTACATGATATTTATTTGATATGAACCGAGTCCATATTATTAAATATTAGGTTTTCTAACTAGAACTTCATCATGATGTACATCAGATGCTTATGTAGAACAATATATCAATAATGTTGAGCAATTACAATATTTGGGTGGTAATCTTTGGTACTGAATTGATGAGAATTATTTTGATTCACTGTCTTCTCGAACGAACACTTCAATACTATCTGTGAAAATAAAAATGAATAAAAATTTAGGTATTGTTGAGTTGTGTGATGTATTAATACATTAGATTTTATTGTGATTGTTGATGATACCAACACTTTATATAGAATAGAGGTTTTTAGTTATTTCACAAATGGTGAATTATTTTCCTCTGTAGCCTTCTTTCTTTTACTATTTGCGTAATGTCGTTACCTGTTCAAAGTAATCAGTCGTTCGAAAATACATGTGGTCTCATCATTTGCAAGTGCTTGGTTCTTTAGAGGTTATAACGTCATGCATACTTTCATTTATTTCATTTCGTTCTTTCTTTCTTCAAACATCTCCAGAACACACGTTTCACATTTGTTATCGTGTTACCTCTTGAAAAGTGGTCGTTAAATGGTGCCACAGAACTTTTGAATGGCAATAAAGTTTTAAGTGAATACGTAAAGAATTTGAAAGAAACTACAGTGTCATTACGATTACCAAAATTTACAATGAAAAATACACTTGACCTTGTGCCAACATTAAAGTCTATCGGTGTTGTCGATTTGTTTGATCCAGTAAAATCTGATCTGTCAGGTAAGAATATCTAAGTTGGTAAATTCACATAAAATATTATACATTGTTATTTTTATGAATTCTGATTATTCTATTGTGAATTCGAGTGGATATTAGCACCTCAGATTACTAGTATGTTCTCTATGCCCATATTTTTATGTGGTTTTATTCAAACGTTCGAAGTCAATGAGTAGTGGAGTTTCTTCAATATGACTTCTGTGTTTCGTGTATCACCTGCCATTATAACCGTCATTAGATAACTCCAAGAAATGCATAGATTGCAAAAGGAAATACGACGCGGTTACTACAGTTTATTGATGTAAAGTACGAATGTCAAGCACTCTGAGCGATTACGAAAGAGAATTTGGACGCCAATCAATGAATGGGTTTCATAAACACATTTTATGGGAAAACGAATAAATCGTGGAACAATTTAAGTAAGTAACATGCTAGTGAACAGAATTTGCGTGTAGGCTGTAATCCATATTCAAACATACATACACATACAAACACAATTATAATACACACATATACAGCCAAAACTAAAATCAGAATTCTCAAGACATACATAAAAACAGTTTCTTTGTGTGGAGTTGAAACGTGGAGAATAGTTAGATGGACCCAAACTGTTTATAATTCAGCGCTTGACCATCAATTATAAGTTGTTCGGTTCTCAAAATGTTTATAAAAAAATAGAAGAGACTAAGGAGAGCTGTGTAATAATAATCACCAGAACAGTTGATGAATATGTGAGACTTAACCTTCGACATCGTCTAAATTATACTTATTCATGGATAATGTGAGAAATTAAGTAACCATCAGAAAAGTATTGGAAGCAATCTCCCAAACAAAATCCAGTCGATTCTGTTTCATAGATTAAAAATTCCGCAGTTTTGGAAAAGAATAATTCAGTAGAAGTGGAACCTTAATTCAATATGTAATCATTCCTTAATTTTCGACATCGTGGATATTGAATTGGATGTTTGAAATGGTAGATTGAGAAAGCGAGTGAATGTAGCTAATAATAGAATGATATATTTATTATTCATCAACAAGATGTACTTGCATTCTTGAGTTGATGTGTACCTCAAATTCAAGCACATTAATTCGATTACATCATGCTTTTGTTTATTTTCCCCGTCAGGTATCACACCTAATCACGATCTATATGTGAATGAATTTATTCAAACAAATGTATTAAAATTAAATGAAAGTGGAATTGAAGCAACCACTGTAACCTCACCTATAATTGTGCCTATTTCAGCCATTATACCAGAAGTAGACTTTCATGTAACTCATCCATTTATATGCTTTATATATGATCAACAATTAACTATGCCGATAATGGCAGCTAAAGTAATGAATCCAATTTTACAATCGTAGTGAACCAATCATCATTCATACTCATATATATTTGATAATTAATTGATTTCCACATGAATCTTTTGTTTTAATACAGTGAATTATATTACGAACATTCGTTTTGTTTACTTTTCAGTGATTAACAAATAAAGAGTATCCATTTTTCTACGCTTTTCATTATTTACAATATTATTTACTGAAGTTGTACCATTGTACTTCGATTCAGTAGTTAACATATGTATATGAGAATGGGTGTCTTGTGGATATTATAGGAATTTTAATAGTTGAGATTATGGGTCAATTGAAGTCAATGTCTAACTTCAAGTAATCCACGAAATTGAGCTTTAGTTATTCCAGGATTTCCATGGTGCTCTATATTCAATTGACTAATGCCCTCAACCAGTAAAATTGTAGTTCTATTTAGTTAACGCATATTTAAGAGCGTATTAAAAAATAGATCTGTCTTGAACCCAATAAATATCAAATATTGAGTAGTGATTGAATTATTGGTGAGATGTGTCAATGGATTGTAAGAAGACTTTGTTACAAATTATGGTCTTGTGCACTATTAATATATGACGTAATGATACCGCCAATTAGAGAAAAGTGAGTTATCGACCGGACCAATGATGAGTAAAACCCGTGCGAGCAGTCTATAATCCTTATTGGTCCTGCTTCTTACCTAGCTCTACCTGTTTAGTTCAGAAAACCAATCTCAGCGTCCGTGATATGAATCATGCATTTCAAACATACAGGGTTCATGTAAAAATCAAACAGACCACATCGTACTATAAAATAGAAAATAACGTTTGTAGAAGATGTAGCCGAAAGTGTCTGTGAATGTGGGAGACTATAATTAACAGACTGGACAGAACTCAATAGCGGTAAATTGTATAATAATATTCCATAACTCCATAAATCATCTGATAAGAGGAACATGAATATGCATCGTTTAGACACTTAATAATTCTACAATAAAAATATATGGATCATATTGGTGCATAGATAGTTCTCAGGAGTTATCACTCATTATTCTCGTCAGAATATAATAGCTTAGGTAGGATAAACCGATTTAATATTTGATGAGAAATTACAGAGTGGATGGAAAACACGTTATTTGCACATCTTTCAGTTGTCTTTAACATTCATCATGATTCTTTGGATTTTATTATTGTTACGAATTCTGACTGTTTCTTATCCCGTTCTATTCAGTTCAATCTTCCACTGATAGACATTCCACATAGGACTGGTGGTGTGTACTACTTCTGTCTGTCGGTATAAGTCGGTATAAGTAGTATTCATCAACGTAGTATAGGGCTAGTTTTTAGAGGAAAATAATTGCTATGAATGTAGAAAAATATTGTGGGTTGATTTTTTGTGCATTTTAAACTTGGATTTGGTTATTCACCCTCTGAAGAAATGGCTTACACCAAGTCACGAAACGTCAGAAAATCTAATTTTTCGACTCATTGGGATATTACAAATATATTATTTATTTATAGTGGGTTGATGTGTTAATAGAAAATTAGTATGCTTATAGAAATATTGGGTGGTTGGAGGCAGTCAGAATGAAATCCTATACCTAGGTTTTGTGATATTTGACACTAGTCGGCAACGCATATCTGATGTTTCCTAACCTACTCGAATCCGTATTATTCGGCTGAACAACGAGGGAGGTTACGACTGAGTTATTCGGATACTGACTGGTTTCCTGTATGATTGAGGTAATCTCAACTGATTGAACAATGAGTGGTGACTAATGTCACGTTTGTTCAACTCTATGAGCCAACTGAATTTAGTCAATATCGACAAGAAAAATGTGTGTGCATGACCTATTTCGGACAGACAACTATTATCCAATTCCATCTGTAATGCACATGCTGACATGCTCATTATAAATTTGGTCGTGTAGTAATTGATATTATTGTAGACCTACGTGGTTAATCCTGACCTATGAACAGATGAATTCTTTTCATCATTCATTTGTTCGTTTACGCATATATTTTCGCTCGTCAACCAAACGACGTCTAACCTTGAGAATGTTTCATACATGTGCGTATGACAGTGATATGTGACTACTCACTTCCTGTGTATCATACATGACTTTTAAAAAAAGGGAGTTACACCCCTATTATTCTCTGAATAGGTGTATTACTAAACTCCAGTGCATTATGTGGTCGATTTATACATTTCCGGTTTTGTTTAAGTAGATGGAACGAGATGAACTTCTCATATGCCAACTTGTTTGATCACAATTAGAGATTTATGATATCTGTCGAAATAAATCTACTAACTAATCCAATTATTGACTAATTGGAATTGGGCGAAAATCCTACTTCATATTTAGGCAATGGTTTTCATATACGAACTGATTGTATACCAATCTGTTTCTCCATATACTTTAATCCGAATATATTTCAAGGTTTGTAGTCTCTACTTTGCACTTTTAGAATTCAGAATCAACAATCTAACATAAATGAACAATCTCTTAGTGTATTGAAGGAGAACACAATCGGTGTCAACTTAATGTACTACAGTACAAAATTACAGAACATCTTAATAAGATCTCAGAACCATGCAGTAAATTCTTCATTTGCGAAATGTCAATCAATCGTCTCAGAATTCATCGTTATTTCGTTTACCCACCAATCATTCTCTGTTCTCGTTCTCTTTCATTCGATCTAATTAACATTATGTAGCCAGGCATTTCCCTTTCGACTGATGATACATACTACTTATATCTGTCGATATGAGTAGTAAACGTCACATGAGTACAAAATGGTTTCATGACCTCTGAAAAACTTCAGACTAAACCTGGGAGAGAAATGTTATTTTCAGACGATATTCTCAATTTATGATTTTTACAAATGCAACATTGTAAATAAGAATGTAAACAATATTTGACCTATAACATAATGAAGATATTACTCTGACCACTACTAATTTACAGATTCCGGTGTAACAATCTGTTTACAAAAGAAAACAGTTGCATCAGTTAAGCTAGTTAGGTCACATATCATTTTATTTTGTACTTCAAATGTATTAGAATACTCCTTTTATCGTCAGTCAGTCAGTCAGTCTGACAGCTACAACGTAGGACCATGCATATATGTGCATCGGTTCAATTTGCCATACTGCATTAGCACAGTGAGAGGAACACCGGATTCCTAGAAGTGGTTAATTCGGTGGTAATATATAAAAGAAAGATTGCATATAAGGGCATAGTAAAGGAAGACAGAGGGTATGTACACCGACGCCGTTGTGATCGATTCTGAGCAATGTCACCCAGAGTCTCCAATCATTGGTTACGATGATGATGCAGACCCCACCGAAGTGGTCTGCATCTACCTTGTATGGAATCAGTTGTGAATATTAAAAACAAAGTAAAAAGCCTTGATAGGATCCCAAGACTACTAATCTAATCTGGTATGTGTAGGATGCACTACAGTTGACTTTATGGGAATGTATGGTTATTTAAACGTAGTTGCTGTTATGTGTGATTGGTAAACGAACTCCCCAATGCTAACATGAAATTCCCACCAACACATTAATTTTCCTCGACCTTGACTCTGCCTTCTTTATCCACCGATCACAGTTTTATGTTCATTTATATCAATACTCGTTTTGTTGACTCATCTCTCCTATAGTCTCGTTTCTGTTTGGTATGTTGTTTATGTTTTTATTTTTCCCTGATTAATAGACTGTATTGTTTATTTTGTATAGTGACAGTGTTGATTTACGTTTTAGAAATAGATAAAATTTATCAAGCCGAATAGCTTTTTTGAACTGACTTTGATTAAGCTGATCTACGACTCTTGTAGTGTGGCATCGAGTCGCGGTTGACTATGATTACCACTACAGGAAGACTACGTGCCAGTTAGCAGGCTATAGCCCTCCGTAGGCCAAATATCAGAAAACAGTTGATGGCTTTAGTCGAGATGTATTAGTTGGCGATCTCGTGGTATCGAAAGAATACCGAGATCGTGCCGAAGGAGTACAAGTGTGATTACTGAGCTTAACCGAATTCGTGCAAGGTCACAACCGAAGGAAGGAAGAATGCCTTTAGTACAGATAAACAATCAAGTACGGTAAAACAATCACTGGTACAATTGGTTATAATAGTGATTGTTTCCATTTCACCAATAACCTTCTCTTGATAAAAGTAGGTTACCACACTCTGTTTTCGACAGTCTAGAGAATAGTTTGTAATTACACCTGTTGGAAGATACTTCCTACAGCTGCTACTGAGAGGCGAGAATATGGAGGACCCAATCAGGTCTAAGATAACAGGTCTCAGGTTTTGGTGCATTATTCACTCATCCATCAGGCGAGATATCGTCTTGGCATTTTAGCTGATGTGAGTTCGTGATGAAAAACCGTAAATCTAATCCTAACTCTAACCATCAGCTGTGAATCATAATCTTTACTGTTCAAACTGGTTTATAACCCGCATTTAGCCCTTATAAGAAGGTAGACACTCACAAGGTCATTTTGTCGTCGTTCAAAGGTCGTCCATATATTATAGTCTAACCCTATTAAAAATTGGTTTTGATCAGTTGGAATCTCTTAACCAGTGAGTAGAGAATTGTCATTTTCTGTAGTTTTTTTGAGGAACCATAACGTCTACAGTTAACAGAATTGAAATTGAAGCGGCTAAATTAATTAACGCATGAGGCAAAAGAATTGGGACACGATCTTAGTACCGTTAAATTCTGATTGAAGCGTTTGGTTAAATGTTATCTATTTGTTTATTCAGGAAAAAAGTTTGTGACTAGAAAGAATACGTCAGTGTAGATTGGTAACACAGTTCTTGGGAAAAACGACCATGATAATGATGACTGGGAAAGTCTCGCATTAGCTGCAGTGCGGTTATGTAGATCAGTATTAGATTCGTTATCTGCAAATATGACATATGTACACTATGAAGTGATACATTCAAATTGTAATAGGAGCACAGCTGCGACATAAATGGGAGTGGACCGAGTAACAGGTTTGTAATAAATAAACGGTAGCTTAAGTTAGGATTGGATAGCTATTTTATCCTAGTTTAAGATCGGTCGATCGTAAATAACAATCACGAAAAACGATAGTAGTAATATCCTTGAAGTGTCTCAATAAATGTGACGGCCTTGGACCATTGAATTTATATTTAGTGCCCTACATA